CCCAACCTTCAACAACCACCACCCTGATGAGTCAGCAGCCATCAGCACCCAAGTAAGACCCTCCACCACCAAAAAGATTACAACTCACTGAACGCTCAGATGATGGTTAGCAATTTTTAACAATAAAGTTTTTTAATTAAGGTATGTACATTTTTTTAGACATAATGCAATTGCACACTTAATAGACTACAGTGTAGTGTAAACATAACTTTTATATGCACTGGGAAACCACATAATCCGTGTGGCTCACTTTTGAGATATTCGCTTCATTGCGGTGGTCTGGAACCAAACCTGAAATATCTCCAAGGTATGCCTGTATATACATTATGTGAGAAAAAAACATGATCACCATACACAAAAAAGGCAAGTGTGGAAGAGGGCACTTCTGTAAGCTCTGAGGGTTCAGGGGTGTCTACAGAGCCAAAATCCTCAGGGGCACCCATCAAGTTATCCCCATCCCACGTTTCCAAAGCTTCAGGGTTTCACCAGGGCCCTGACCGGACAGCAGACCTCCCCAGGCCAAGCATTCCGATGTCTTTAGAGCTCTGCCACTCTGTCAAATCCCCTGTCTGTTTCTCAGCCGTGCCAGTTTTCTACTGCAGGAAATAAGGGGCTCTTGGTTAACCTCCACAGAGGCCCTCTGACTCCGGAACTTAGCGTTTAACTGTTGGTTAGCTGCCCTCAGTTTCTCATTATCCTTCTGCAGAGCATTAGTACAACTTAGTAATACCCAGCTAACTCTGCTGTCCTTGTAGGCGTTGTCTCTACCATATCTTACAAGCGCCTGAATTGCTGCACAGATAGCAGCATTCCCTTTCCTGGGGAACTTTTCCTAGATTGCTGGTGAAATCTTCAGCATTCTCTTGTGCCAGAGACTGAGTAAGCCATTCCCAAAATCGCACCTTAGTGCCTGTTTTCTTGGACTACTCCCAGTACCACCTACGTCAGTTCTGGTCCTCAGAGAAGCACATACCAAGAAGGGATTCGACATGCAAGATACTAATGGGGAGAAATGCCTGTGAAGGATAAGAGAGGCAATGAAAGCCTTCAGATCACGACGCGGGTCTGACCCCTGTAAAAGCAGGGAGGGAAGGTGGAAGTACTGGGTAGGAAGGGCCTCAGACTACAGTGTGGTTCTAAGAAGATCTCAGCCAGGCTAATGAGTTCTCCAAGCCAAAGTTGCCCACTCGACGCATTCTGCACCAGGCAGTAAGGATAAATCCTAGTACCCCTGTGATGCTCAGTCACTGGCTGGGAACAGCTCAAGGGACTTGTGGCCTCAGCATGAGTGCAATGGTGGATCCAAAGGGGTTGGCAGCAGGCTATCAGTCAGCTATGCTCCCTGCAGTAGATTCTCTTGAAGGAGTCCTGAATGGCACACTTCTGTGGCCACCACACCAAGCATGTGATACTACTGGCACCTAAGGGGTAGAGGCCAGGGATGCTGCTAAACATCCTGTAATGCACAAGACAGTCCCTCACAACAAAGAAGAATCCAGCCCTAAATGTCAGTAGTGCCAAGGTTGAGAAAACCTGCTCTAGGAATGTAACCTACAAATACACTGACACAGATCAAATAGCTTCTGCACAATTTACTGCTTTAAATGATAAACTATTAGGAATGATACAACTATACATAAACAGAGACTGGTTAAATTCCATCCGTACAATGGAATACTATGTAGTCATTAAGCAGGATGAGTCAGCTCTATGTACACTGACCTTAAACATTATTAACATGTTAATAATTAAAAAAAAAGGTGAACAGTATTACAGTATTTCATTATTTGTGGAAAATAGGTGATAGATGTGGTAAATATTAAATACATTCACTTGCATATGCATAAAATATCTCTGGGACAGGACTGACTACATAACTTTGCAGGGCCCAGTACCAAATGAAAATGTGGAACCCCTGTTCAAATATTATTAATTTCAAGATGGTGATAACAGCATTAAACCAAGGGCAAGCCCTGCCCCAAAGGCTGAAGCCTGGTTTTAGGGTCTGCACCATTCTCTCCCCCAGTCTTGTCTTAAGGAGTGTAATCAGGGCTTGAACCAAAGGGCTGTCCCAGCACAGGAGGGAGCCAAGGGGTGAGAAGAGAA